GGAATATTCTCCACTACGGGCAAGTTTAATCTGTTAACTTTTTTTTTTTTTTCCAGTGGCCCTAATCCTCTTCCGTAAACAGGTGAAACTTGCCCGTAGTGGAGAATATTCCTCCAATTATCCCACACAGCCGCACCAGGAACTGCCACAGCGGCATGTGCTGCTCGCTGACCGTCACCATCAGGGAGCTGGTGTCGTACTTGAGGAAGATGCCGGAGACGCCGTGGCTGCCCGCTGCATGGTTTATTACCCGTTCCTTTAACAAAAGCAGAACAGCGACGGTTAGGACACTCTTCCGGCTTTACCCATCCTCAGCGCCGCCCTCTCCCCACTCACCCGCTCAGTCACCGAAAACTGGTGTGTGTCTGCAGAGATCAGGTATGTGTTCAACTTGGTGGGCACCACTGTGATGAAGTACTGGTACATCTGGTTATCTGCAGTCAGGATGGAGAGGAAAAAAGCAAGTTAAAGACAGCCTGCCATCTGTTAAATTATGAGTATGACAGAAAAGGGATCATTTAGTTATTCTGGATTGAAAGGTACTGTTGGAGGTGATTTTCTCTGTGCCGTCCAAAGGATTGATTATGCCTGGAATCTCCTCGCCGAAAGATAGATGGTCTATCCGGTGAGAGAAGTTGTACGCTGCAAAACGAGGAGAGGAAAGACGAGATTAAATTCCCTTTAAAACATCCCAAGTCTTTGGTATTTATGAATTTGAATATTTTGCTCCTTTTGGTCATTTCAAATAAAAGTATGAGCCGATAAAATTGTGCATCTCTGCATATTGGTTATAAAATTGACACCAGTAAGGAAAACTGTTACTTACCTTCATGGCTCACAAAAGCTGCAATGTGTGCGTGGCCCTGAGGATGATGGATAGGCCTAGAGAAGACAGACAAAAGGAAATTAGTCTGTGCTGAACATTTACACTGCAAAAAATATAAATCTAAATAAGTCATTTTTTCTTAAAATAAGTGCATTTTATCCTGAATTGAGGAGATAAATTAGACACTTTGCCAATGGAACACGACAATTTACATTTGAATTAAGAAAAATCAATTGCATTGTCTTATTTCAAGTGCATGTTATCTAATTAACTTATTTTAAGTGTAAAAATACTCATTCCATTAGCAAACTATCTTATTTACCTGCTCAAATTAAGGGTAAATACACTTTATTAAAGATATTTTTACTTAATTTCTGATCATTTTTGCAGTGTACACTTTCTTTTTTTCCAATCAGTCCTCTTACACTGGAAAAACAATCTAGAAATAAGTAAAAATGTCTTAAATTAATGTATTTACCCTTAATTTCAGAAGGTAAATTACATAGTTTGCCAAAGGAATGAGTGTTTTTACTCTTATTATAAGATCATTATATAATATGTACTTGAAATAAGACAATGCATTTGTGTTTTCTTATTTTAAGTGTACATTGTCTTGTTCCATTGGCAAAATGTTTCTTTTACCTCCTTAATCTGAGAACAAATGCACCTATTTTAAGAAAAAATGACTTCTCTAGATTTAGATTTTTTCCAGTGTAGTTTATTATCCAGGTGAAAGACTGCACTGGAAAAAATCTAAATCTAGAGAAGTAATTTTTTCTTAAAATAAGTGCATTTGTTCTCAGATTAAGGAGGTAAAAGAGACATTTTGCCAATGGAACAAGACAATTTACACTTAAAATAAGAAAACCCAATTGCATTGTCTTATTTCAAGTACATATTATCTAAATATCTTATTTTAAGAGTAAAAATACTCATTCCATTGGCAAAATATCTCATTACCTACTCAAATTAAGTNATAGTTTGCCAAAGGAATGAGTGTTTTTACTCTTATTATAAGATCATTATATAATATGTACTTGAAATAAGACAATGCATTTGTGTTTTCTTATTTTAAGTGTACATTGTCTTGTTCCATTGGCAAAATGTTTCTTTTACCTCCTTAATCTGAGAACAAATGCACCTATTTTAAGAAAAAATGACTTCTCTAGATTTAGATTTTTTCCAGTGTAGTTTATTATCCAGGTGAAAGACTGCACTGGAAAAAATCTAAATCTAGAGAAGTAATTTTTTCTTAAAATAAGTGCATTTGTTCTCAGATTAAGGAGGTAAAAGAGACATTTTGCCAATGGAACAAGACAATTTACACTTAAAATAAGAAAACCCAATTGCATTGTCTTATTTCAAGTACATATTATCTAAATATCTTATTTTAAGAGTAAAAATACTCATTCCATTGGCAAAATATCTCATTACCTACTCAAATTAAGTGTAAATACACTTAATTTAAGAAAGTTTTACTTATTTCTAGATCATTTTTCCAGTGTGAATAAATAAATTACCCATTTTCGTTTTTTTTTTGTAGAGACCACACTGCAAAAACGAGTTAGAAATAAGTACAAATTTCTTAAATTAAGTCTTTTCACCCTTAATTTGAGTAGGTAAATTAGATAGTTTGCCAATGGAATGAGTATTTTTACTATTAAAATAAGATAATTAGATAATCTGCACTTGAAATAAGAGAATTCAACTGTGTTTTCTTATTTTAAATGTAAATTGTCTTGTTCCATTGGCAAAATGTATTTTTTTACCTACTCAATTCAAGAACAAATGCACTTATTTTTAGAAAAAAATGACTTATCTAGATTTAGATTTTTTGCAGTGCATTTACAAGCGATGGAGTTAGGGTTAACCCTAACCCACAGCATCACAGATCCTCCACTGTACTTAGCAGTAAGCCATGAAGTCTTCATTCCAAAATAATATTGTCTTACTCCAAACCCCTCTGGATAATTTATCCCCAAAAATTGAATTTATTCTCATCAGGGAAAAATCCGAACTGCAACGGAAGTCGGAGCTTTGAAAACTTTCTGTAGAACAATGAAGGAAAATCAATGTCGAGGTGATTGGAGACCCAAACATGCGACTCCTTGCTGCAATTTAGAGATCTAGATCACTTTTAGAGGTGGAAAAATCTTTGGTTAAGAGAAACCGAAACAAGATCAAAAGACTACAGAAACATGTGAGTCTGAAAAAGATTTAAAACAGCCTAAAAAGAATGGGAAACCTGCCGTCCCAGATTAGAGGAAACTGTCCATATTCCCAGGTCTGGTTGTACGAGAGGGTTTAATTTGAGGGCAGACTGCAGGATGCTAAAAGAAGTTTCAAAGAAAAATGCTGAAAGTCTAATCTCAGGAGCTACAGCTCTTAATGTGTTCAATGAAAAACATAAACACCAGAGCCTCTGGAATAACGCTCCTCAGACGGAAAACCTGTTTATCTGAAAAACCAGAGCAGAGGATATACAGGGGTTGGAAAATGAAACTGAAACACCTGGTTTTAGGCCACATTAATTTATTATTTTGGTGTAGGGCCTCCTTTTGCGGCCAATACGGCGTCAATTTGTCTTTGGAATGACATATACAAGTCCTGCACAGGTCAGAGGGATTTTAAGCCATTCTTGCAGGATAGTGGCCAGGTCACGATGTGATGCTGGTGGAGGAAAATGTTTCCTGAGTCGCTCCTCCAAAACACCCCAAAGTGGCTCAATAATTTTTAGATCTGGTGACTGTGCATCAAACTAATCTTTCACCAGTCTTGCTGTGTGTATTGGTACATTGTCATCCTGATACCCTGCACCTCCTTTAGGATACAACGTTTGAACCATTGGATGCACATGGTCCTCCAGAATGGTTCGGTAGTCCTTGGCAGTGATGCGCCCATCTAGCACAAGTATGGGGCAACGGGAATGCCATGATATGGCAGCCCAAGCCATCACTGATCCACCCCCATGCTTCACTTTTGGCATGCAACAGTCTGGGTGGTACCCTTCTTTGGGGCTTCTCCACACCGTTACTCTCCCGAATGTGGGGAAAACAGTAAAGGTGGACTCATCAGAGAACAATACATGTTTCACATTGTCCACAGCCCAAGATTTGCGCTCCTTGCACCATTGAAACCGACGTTTGGCATTGGCACGGGTGACCAAAGGTTTGGCTATAGCAGCCCGGCCGTGTATATTGACCCTGTGGAGCTCCCGACGGACAGTTTTGGTGGAAACTGGAGAGTTGAGGGGTTTTTTTCTGGATACATCCGGGTTAGCACCCGAACATCCCTTTCAGACAGCTTCCTCTTGCGTCCACAGTTAATCCTGTTGGATGTGGTTCGTCCTTCTTGGTGGTATGCTGACATTACCCTGGATATCGTGGCTCTTAATACATAAAGACTTGCTGTCTTGGTCACAGATGCGCCAGCAAGATGTGCACCAACAATTTGTCCTCTTTTGAACTCTGATATGTCACCCATAATGTTGCGTGCATTGCAGTATTTTTGAGCAAAACTGTTATCTTACCCTGCTAATTGGACCTTCTGGTTCAATGTGCAATTAATGAAGATTGGCCACCAGGCTGGTCCAATTTAGCCATCAAACCTCCCACACTAAAATGAGAGGTGTTTCAGTTTCATTGTCCAACCCCTGTATGTGGCAAAGACTGAACTCATCATCTCAGGCAAAGTGAAACAAGGAGGTGGAGGTGTCATGCTTTGTGGATCAGCTAACAGACTTTTATTACCACTCATTACCATGTAGCCAGCCGAGCTTTCAGAGTTAGCAAAACTATTGTCTTCATCTAAGCCTTAAACTTGGATGTTAGATCCAGTTCCAACCAGGTTATTTAAGGAGGT